AAGACGATATTTGCCACTTCAATCTTATATTTGGCAGACCAAAATTATTACATTAAATGGTAAAAACAACCCCAAGTGTTTGATTAACTTGAAGTTGAAAGTATACCTGGAAAATGTCTTGGGAAGAAAAGCCTCAGCACAACGGCAATGAAAGCAATCCATTTGCCAACCTCTCCTCTGAATCACATTTTAACAAAATTTATCAAGAGCTTAAATTCATTGGAAGATAAATAGATAGAGATTGATGGGAGGAAGAGGAAACAAGAGAAGCAATTTGTTACCTAAGAAAGTTGAACAGCACTGAAGGAAGACTGAAGAAAATGTAAGGCACCAGAAGTGATGTTAACATATTTGTTCTCCAATTTGTGTGATCCAATATCAACAAATAACTGCAGTCAACAAAGATAAGAATTCAATATTAAGAACCATGAAATTCTATTTTCTATGTACATAAACAAAGTGAAGGTACAAATTACGAAATTATTATTCAGACAAATAGAACAAAATTAACTCTATAACTAAGGCATTGAGGCAGCATTAGAGAATGTCAAGATGCATAATCTATGGAAATATCATTCAAGCTGCATACTTGGTTCAAGGACAGAAATAAGAAATACCCAGCTTGAAAAAGAAGAATAACCATATAACAATGCAGGCTGCAATTAGCATTACAGGAACTAGAGTATTGGAAATGAGTATCCTGAAGTCTAGTTGTTCTTTTAGAGAAAATGAATTCCTTTCCATCAATTCCAGTTCTAATGTCAAATGTTATCACACAGTGATATAAAAGTTCAAAACAATTGCAACTTTTATTTACATTTTCCCATACGAACATCCCTAATAGAAGGAAAAGATTATGTAACCTTCTATTCATGCTATTTTCATTTGAAAATTTTGTAGAAATCAAGAGTCATATACTTACAAGCAAGCAATAAGATTCCTTCTATACTGAAAATTTCAACATAATATTCTTTAAAGAACATGCCAACTGCTAATGCCAATTCCAATGATATAAGAAGCCACACTCTTGACTTCAAATGTTTCCCAACCAAAAATCTACTAGAAGCACTTGGAGCCACTTTCCACTTAACTCTTAAGTCCTAGTAAAAAATATAGCAGCCCTGTTTTATGCTTGATTTCAAACAAGCACATAAGTATGTTAGAAAGAAAATGATTTATTCCACGGAAATCTAGACCATTTAACCATTTGAATGGTTCTTGTTTCAGGTAATCCTACCACCACCTATTGTACACACTCTTGGCCCGTGTTCAACTAGATTAAATCCATCAGTTCACATCTTTTTATGTATGCATAAATGCTGTAAAGTCATGCAGACTTATTCCCACCCTGCAATATAATATCATGAAAAGGAAATTAACCAACCAGGCAAAACCAAATAACCAATACATAATTAAACCAATCAGATATCAGAAAAAGTCACAACGAGACCTAACATTCAAAATTGAAACTTTTGATAAAGGAAAGACAAAAAAAGTCAAAAACCAACAATCACAGTGAACATCATAGACCAAATCAAAATCAATAATACAAGCACTTTTCCACAGGGGCAGTTTCTATAATAAAAGCAACTTCCACATTGGACTCTTGACACCAACCAAAATCATATCTTGATTATCCAAACCAAGTATGAAGCAAAAGAGTCATAAAAAGCAGGAAAAATGTAGACTTTTATCACATAAAAGATTAGAAGACTCACATAGCCGCAAAAGAAGCGACCCATTTGAGAAAAGATGTTCCAAACCCAATTCCGCCAAGTTTAGTTGCATCTTTGATCAGCTTCCTTGTGGCCGCCCTGAGCTCGTTTGCATCAGAATTGATCGAATCCTCCACCACCGGATCGGTTTTCACCGCCAGATAATCGATTCTCCCCATTTTCGTTTCCTCCCAGTCCCAGATAATTAAGCAAAATAGCCGAAGACAGAAACACAGAAGGAGAAAAGGATTAGGCCTTTCTAGATGGGGTTAAATTTGTATTTAAAAAAATAAAAATAAAAATTGACCTTACTTTTAATATTGTTAGTACTTAATTAATTTAATTGAATAATTATTAAATTAAGTTTAATTTTTATTTTTTAAACACAAATTTATTATAAAGAATCTGTTTATTACAATCTTACCTTAACAGTGTGCTTGGTAAACTCCCCTTGAGAAACATTATCCATAAGGATTTTGTAAGGGGATCTTAATCCTTAATTACTTATACATCTTAAAATTATGATAAATAAAATATAAAAGTGAAGTTTTTAGTTTTTATTTTTTTAAACGTAATTCTTAACATATAAATTTTTTTCATATATTTTAAGAAAAAAAAGTTTCCTACAACTTTTCTATATAAAACTCACTTAATTTTTTTTTATATAAAACTCACTTAATTTTTTTTATATAAAACTCACTTAACAAAATTTTCAATTAACTCTTCTTATACTTTTTTGAATATCAATTTTTTATCAAATACAATAAAATTAAAATACCAACAAAATTTTGATAAAATTTTATTATAAAACATAACAA